GCATTAAGAGCAAATCTGACATGGGGTAAAATTGTTCATCAGGTCAAGATCTATCTGCCCTGAAATTTTCAGATGAATCGGACAACCCGTTATTGGGTTGCTGCCCCTGAATTGGTAATTTTAAGGAAATTTTGCTGTTTTTGGTTATTATCTTGAATATTATTATAGATAGAGATAAACTGTAAACAGCAATAATGTTCAGCAAAGTAAGATTTACAAATAAGTCAATATAACCGAAATGGTCAGTTGACCCCTTTAGGAGTAATTGCCCTTTATAGTCAATTTTTAACCATTTTTCGTAAATCTTAGTAATCTTTTACAAAAATCTTCTCCTCTGAAACAACTGGGCCAAATTAAACCAAACTTGGCCACAATCATCATTGGGGTATCTAGTTTAAAAAATGTGTGGCGTGACCCGGCCAACCAACCAAGATGGCCGCCACAGCTAAAAATAAAACATAGGGGTAAAATGCAGTTTTTGGCTTATAACTCAAAAACCAAAGCATTTAGAGCAAATCTGACATATGGTAAAATTGTTTATCAGGTCAAGATCTATCTGCCCTGAAATTTTCAGATGAATCGAACAACCTGTTGTTGGGTTGCTGCCCCTGAATTGGTAATTTTAAGGAAATTTTGCTGTTTTTGGTTATTATCTTGAATATTATTATAGATAGAGATAAACTGTAAACAGCAATAATGTTCAGCAAAGTAAGATTAACAAATAAGTCAACATGACTGAAATGGTCAGTTGACCCCTTTAGGAGTTATTGCCCTTTATAGTCAATTTTTAACCATTTTTCGTAAATCTTAGTAATCCTTTACAAAAATCTTCTCCTCTGAAACTCCGTGGCCAAATTAAACCAAACTTGGCCACAATCATCATTTGGTTATCTAGTTTTAAAAATGTGTGGCGTGACCTGGTCAACCAACCAAGATGGCCGCCACGGCTAAGAATAGAACATAGGGGTAAAATTCAGTTTTTGGCTTTTAACTCAAAAACCAAAGCATTTAAAGCAAATCTGACATGAAGTAAAATTGTTTATCAGGTCAAGATCTATCTGCCCTGAAATTTTCAGATGAATCGGACAACCCGTTATTGGGTTGCTGCCCCTGAATTGGTAATTTTAAGGAAATTTTGCTGTTTTTGGTTATTATCTTGAATATTATTATAGATAGAGATAAACTGTAAACAGCAATAATGTTCAGCAAAGTAAGATTTACAAATAAGTCAATATAACCGAAATGGTCAGTTGACCCCTTTAGGAGTAATTGCCCTTTATAGTCAATTTTTAACCATTTTTCGTAAATCTTAGTAATCTTTTACAAAAATCTTCTCCTCTGAAACTACTGGGCCAAGTTAATTATAGATAGAGATAATTGTAAGCAGGAAAAATGTTCAGTAAATTAAGATGTACAAACACATCACCATCACCAAAACAATTTTGTCATGAATCCATCTGCGTCCTTTGTTTAATATTCACATAGACCAAGGTGAGCGACACAGGCTCTTTAGAGCCTCTAGTTGGTTATTATCTTGAATATTATTATAGATAGAGATAAACTGTAAACAGCAATAATGTTCAGCAAAGTAAGATCTACAAATAAGTCAACTTGACCAAAATGGTCAGTTGACCCCTTAAGGAGTTATTGCCCTTTATAGTCAATTTTTAACCATTTTTCGTAAATTTTTGTAATCTTTTACAAAAATCTTCTCCTCTGAAACTATTAAGACAAATTTAACCAAACTTGTCCACAATCATCATTAGGGTATTTAGTTTAAAAAATGTGTCGAATGACCCCGCTCGCGAACCAAGATGGCCGACATGGCTAAAAAATAGTACATAGGGTAAAATGCAGTTTTTGGCTCATATCTCTGAAACCAAAGCATTTAGAGTAAATCTGACGGGATAAAATTGTTCATTAAGTCAAGATCTATCTGCCCTGAAATTTTCAGACCAATCAGGCAACACGTTGTTGGGTTGCTGCCCCTGAATTGGTAATTTTAAGAAAATTTTGCAGCTTTTGGTTATTACATGTATCTTGAATATTATTATAGATAGAGATAAACTGTAAAAAGCAATAATGTACAGCAAAGTAAGATCTACAATTAACAAATAAGTCAACATGACCAAAATTGTCAATTGACCCTTTAAGGAGTTATTGGCCTTTATAGTCAATTTTTTACAATTTTCATAAATTTTGTAAATTTTTGTAAATTTTTACAAAATATTTTCCACTGTAACTACTGGTCCAAGTTCATTATAGATAGAGATAATTGTACATGTTGTAAGCAGCAAGAATGTTCAGCAAAAAAATTTTGTGGTCGTATATTGGTATGACGTTGGCGTCGTCTTTGTCGTCTTTGTCGTCGTCTTCGTCCGAAGACACATTGGTTTTCGCACTCTAACTTTAGTTTAAGTGAATGGATCTCTATGAAATTTTACCACAAGGTTCAATACCACAAAAGGAAGGTTGGGATTGATTTTGGGGGTTATGGTACCAACAGTCAAGGAATTAGGGGCCAAAATAAGCATTTTTGTAACTTCCAGACATAACTTGTGTGTTAGTGTATGGATCTCTCTGACATTGTACCACAAGGTTCCATATCACAAAAGGAATGCTGGGATTGATTTTGGGGGTAATTGCCTCAAAATTTTAGGAATTAGGGGCCAAAAAAGGGGCAAAAAACAAGCATTTTTCTAGTTTCATGACAATAACTTGTGTGTAAGTGTATGGATCTTTCTGAAATTGTACTACAATGTTCCATATCACAAAGGGAAATCTGGAATTGAGTTTGGGGGTAATGGCCAAAACGTTTAGGAATTGGGGGCCAAAAAGGGGCCAAAAATAAGCATTTTTCTAGTTTCCAGACAATAACTTGTGTTCAAGTGTATGGATCTCTCTGAAATTGTACTGCATAGTGCAAGGTAACATACCACAAAGGGAAGGCTGGGATTGATGATGGGGGTAATTGCCTCAATATTTTAGGAATTAGGGGCCAAAAAGGTGCAAAAAACAAGCATTTTTCTAGTTTCAGGACAATAACTTGTGTGTAAGTGTATGGATCTTTATGAAATTGTACTACAATGTTCCATATCACAAAGGGAAAGCTGGAATTGAGTTTGGGGGTAATTGCCCAAAACGTTTAGGAATAAGGGGCCAAAAATAAGCATTTTTCTAGTTTCCAGACAATAACTTGTGTTCAAGTGTATGGATTCTCTCTGAAATTGTACTCCAGGGTACCATACCACAAAGGGAAGGCTGGGATTGATTTTGGGGGTAATTGCCTCAGAATTTTAGGAATTAGGGGCCATAAAGGGGCAAAAAAACAAGCATTTTTCTAGTTTCAGGACAATAACTTGTGTGTAAGTGTATGGATCTTTCTAACATTGTACTGCAAGGTTCCATATCACAAAGGGAAAGCTGGGTTTGAGTTTGGGTGTAATTGCCCTAAACGTTTAGGAATAAGGGGCCAAAAATAAGCATTTTTCTAGTTTCCAGACAATAACTTGTGTTCAAGTGTATGGATCTCTCTGAAATTGTACTGCAAGGTACCATACTACAAAGGGAAGGCTGGGATTGATTTTGGGGGTAATTGCAGCAAAATTTTAGGAATTAGGGGCCATAAAGGGGCAAAAAAACAAGCATTTTTCTAGTTTCAGGACAATAACTTGTGTTCAAGTGTATGGATCTCTCTGAAATTGTACTGCAAGGTACCATACCACAAAGGGAAGGCTGGGATTGAGTTTGGGGGTGATGAATCATAAGGGGGTTCAAAAAATTGGGGGGGGATTTTTTTTTTTTTCCTTTTTTTTTTCTTTTAAAATTTTCCATTTTAAGTTGGTTATTTCTGATTTATATTTAAAAGCAAATAATAATGATATGGTAGGAGATACACACTAAACAGGATGTGTAAATTATTATTATATAATAAGTATTGTGCAATAGAAAGAAATTTTCAATTGCACAGTATTGCACAATAGCAAGAAATCTTCAATTGCACAGTATTGCGCAATAGCAAGAAATCTTCAATTGCACAGTATTGCGCAATAGCAAGAAATATCCAATAGCACAATATTGCGCAAATCGGGGTCCAAAATTAAACTTTGTTTGATTTCAACAAAAATTGAATATATGGGGTTCTTTGATATGCTGAATCTAACCGTGTATTTAGATTTTTGATTTTTGGGCCCCGTTATCAACTTTGTCCACATTGAGGTCAAAAGGGTCCAAAATTAAACTTTGTTTGATTTCATCAAAAATTGAATTCTTGGGGTTCTTTGATATGCTGAATATAACCATGTATTTAGATTTTGGATATTGGACCATAATAGGTGAATGTCCAATTTAAAATTTTTAAGTTCTTAGACCACATTCATTCTGTGTCAGAAACCTATGCTGTATCAAATATTTAATCACAATCCAAATGCAAAGCTGTATCAAGCTTGAATGTTGTGTCCATACTTGCCCCAACTGTTCAGGGTTCGACCTCTGCTGTCGTGTCAAGCTGCGCCCTGCCGAGCATTTTATTTTATATTTTTGTTACTGGTAAGTTGGTATTTTGTGCTTGGATAAGGCCGTTGGTTTTCTCATATGAGTTGTTAGTTTTTTGTTTTGTCTTTGATATTTATAGCTTGTTGTGCAGTATGGGTTTGATCATTGCTGAAAGCTGTATGGTGACCTATAGTTGCTAACATCTACATCATTGGGTCTAGGTTTGATATTTGACTTGTCTCATTGGCAATCATACATTGTACCAGATCTCCTTATTTTATATGGCTCATTTCACAAAAAAATGTATACATACATGTACATGTACATTACAGCCAAATTAGTGTCCCCCTCAGCAAGAGCTAAATGTAGTGTATTTAACTGGCAAACAGGCGATTTCAAGGTGACCATATTTTTATACCTTGAGCAGTCAACCCTTGGGGTTATTTATATTTTTGACATGTTTGAAGCCTTGCTATTATTATTATTTTTGAGTTTTTCTTTTTTAGGACCTACCACTTGATGATATTACAGACAGAAGAACTCCTGTAAAGGATGGTAGTGCTAGTGGCTGCATGAAAAGATTATCATCCGAGTCTGATCATCAATCATCTAACAAAAGGTTAAGACCAGGCCTTATACGATCACCAGATGATCAGGACTTTCAAAGAGGTAGGGTCAAAATAAATATTTAAATGTTCCCATCTACATGTATCTACAATTGAAGGTTTTTAAAAAAAAGCAACTGAATGAATTTTTCCTGTTTATTTATTATTTATGTTTCTTTGGGGAGGGGGATATGGACTGCAAATTTGTAATTTCCAACAAAACACTAGCTCATTTAATATCCAGTGGCAGTCAAAATTCCTGCCCTTCATCCCAATATACCCACTTTACAGAACCTTCCTATTGTATTTATTGTTAATTTGTTCTGACTGCTTGTTCCTTATTGTTTGTATTTATTGTTAATGTTTTCTGACTGCTTGTTCCTTATTGTTTTTGTCTAAATTAATGTCTCATATTGTACTATGCTCCTTGTGAGCCCTTTTTATTGAGAGTAAACAAGCATCTTCTTGTCCTTAGTATATAAAATAAGGAGATTGGGTATCATATGAAAACTATCTACCAGAGACAAATGATGTAGATATTAGCAACTATAGTATAAGTCACCGTCCAGCCTTCAGCAATGAGTAAAACCCATAATGCATAACAAGCTATAAAAGGCCCCAAAATGGCAAAATGAAAGCAACTCAAACAAGAAAACCATGTATATATACATGAAATAATTGTCAGCGAATATTAAGCAAAAAACCAGAAATTAATTTAAGCAAAATGTGCTTTAACTTCATTAAAGTTAGTACTACTTTTTTTTTCTTAAGTCGAACACTTGTCAGTACAAGACATTTTCTTTTGTTCTTCAGGGGCCTACAGGCATGCAAGAAAGAATCTCCAAGAGAAACAGACAGAAAAGCAGCAGCATACTAGCTGTCAACAGGAAATTAGACAAGATTCCAGGACAAGTGAAACAGACCATACACAGTCTAGAGTACCAGCAGTATCTCAACACATTGTAGTGCAAGAGAATAGAGAACCAGCAGGTCATATTACAAGACAGAGTAAAACAAGGCAGCATGAAGACAGTCATTTAAAGACTCCAGTTAGAACAAAAAGGAAATTCCCAGGTCCTGCTGGACTCTTGCCAAGGATTGTAAGGAAACTTATTTTGTCATGTGATCATGTTTTACAAGTGCACATGATTCTTTTCAAAATATAATTTGGCAATATTATCACCCATAAACATGTCTAGTTAATGAATTCTACTTAACTATTATAAAAGGCACTTGTGGAAATAGATATTACTTTTTTTAAACTGGCAACACTTTGAATTGAATATTCAGAAATTTTTGTGTGTATTTTATATTATTGTGTTTGTTGAACAATGGACAGAAATGCAAGATTAATTATTGCGATTTCAGGCCATGGTGCATTTAAATAATGCTATCAAAATAAAGGCCTACAAATCAAGATATCTTTCAATCACATATTAATTAGTCCATAAACAGCTAATTTTTATTACGGTGCAGTCCAGTGTATCCGCGCACCTAAGACTTTTGGCTTCACTTTGGTAATCTCATAAAACCAATATAAAGCAGATAATATTGTGTGAACAAATTCATGGCATAATTTAATTTCATGAAATTTTCTTAATGTACGGTTTTACCCTTAAGATTTTATGTAATCTGTGTCCAAAATTAGGGAAACCCCTGTTTTGACAGTTCTTCAAATGTCCGGTGATTTCACACATGCCTTCTAAAAATAGCTAATTTTGAATGCAGGAAAGATTTTATACTACGAAATATAGTTCAGTTTGAACCAAATAGACTTCCAAAGATGAGGAGCAAAATTTATTTCATTTTGATAAAAATTTGACTTTAAATGAAATCAATTTTATCTGATGATGTATTTTTTAATTGAAAATGGCTAAATATGGTTAATCATGGGATTGCAATTGTAAATTTATGCTTAAACTTATCAATTTTTTATTCTTTTTCGTCCCCTCGGAAGACTAAAACAATTACAAGAACGGTTCTATTTGTGTTACATTGCGGGTATGACGAAATAAGGTAATACTCGATATCACTGCCGCAAGGACACAGGGGATTCCACTGTTATGTTTTTATAAAAGATATCTCTCTTAGTAACCATTGTATTTATTTCATATAATCATGGACATTATTAGTCTTTGATCATTTCGTAAATCTAGATTTTCCTTGGTAGTAGCCATTTTTGTTTACCTGTGCAACTTGTAAATTGCCACTTGTAAATCTCAAGTTGTCTCCCTTGTACCAATTTTGATAGCGTCTTGACTTTGCTAAGAAATCCGTTTGTCGTCGAGTTTAAGTGATTTTCAAAAATTTTGTTAACCTAATTTGTCGTTTTGCTGGCAAGAGTATATGCCCTAATGATATGCTGATCTTTAATCAGATAATGAAATTTCAGTGCTATATTTATTCTCATTGTAAAAGATATCTTGTATCATGCAATATTGAAGACAAATATCTGACCTTTCCTTGTTGAATGACTTAATTAATTTTTTTGAGTTTGTATATGAGAAGCCTGGACGTTTGTCGCAGTATGCAAGACAAAGGGATTACTATCGGGCGGCAGCCCTGTAAAGTATTTGTATAAAGCTTTATATTTCAGAAGATACTGCTTGAAAAATATATTATGGTTTTTTTTCTCCTGTGAATTTTTCACTTAATGTGAGTAATAGAATAACTATATTTATATGGGTTCCTTGTAACTTCTACATGTGCCAGACAGAGTTCACCTGACCTTGACCACATTTTCATGGTTCATTGGTCAATGTGAAGTTTTTGTGTTTTGGTCTGTTTTTCAAATACTATAAGCAGTAGGTCAACTATATTTGGTGTATGGAATGCTTGTAAGATGCACATGTCTGTCTGGCAGGTATAATCTGAACTTGACCCCATTTTCATTGGTCATTGGTCAATGTTAAGTTATTGTGTTTTAGTCTGTTTTCAATTACCATAAGCAGTGGGTCAACTATATTGGTACAAGGAATAATTGTAAGGTGTACATGTCTGTCTGACAGGATTTATCTGACCTTTACCTCATTGTCATGGATCTTTAAAAATGTTAAGTTTATGTGATACTTATCTTTAAGACTTTCAACATAAAATAAATGGACTTTTATTATTATGGTGAGTAAAACAGGTGAGACATTTCAGCATGTGCACTCTTATATAATTTTGCTATTTGTGGATTTGTCATCATTTCCCCACCAATCTTTGAGTCTGCCTTTTCATTATAATCTTCTCATTTGGACCTTAACTTTAATAGGAATGTTTCATGGTGATTCCCTTTCACACATATTTGTGATCTCTTTGCCCATCAACCAATATTAAGGTCAGAGACTCTTAAAGCCTGAAACATTCTTTCAAATTCTGTCTATAATACTATAACCACTTTGTCAAATGAAATCAGACTTTACAAACAATATCCTTGATCAATCTTAAGTGTAAGCTCAATTAGTCATTCGAGATGATCTGGTTTATACCTGAGATTATTTCATCTTCTTTCTCAAAACAACACCATCATAGAGGCTAAATGACATGAAGGTAGGAATAATGCTTGACTTTTATTCAGTTAATGCAACATGTTTAGTGGAAAAGGTCAGCAATGAAATCTGGTGTCCTTGACACACGTTTTACACATGAATGGCTTTGGCTTAGTTTGGTTTTATGGTTGTAATGTAGGAAATTACAAATCATAGAGGAAAGATATTTTGTCAGTTGATACATCTGGTTTAATGACGAAGGTCTTCATTGACATTAAGTGACCTTGACCTACATTTTACTTTGGTTATGTTTAGGTTTTAGGTCCAGATCTAAGCAACTATAAATTATTTAGGAAATAACCTTATTGTATTTTAAAGCTTTTAACTTTGCCTACATAAAACCAAGTTATATGTAGGCCAAGTTAAAGTGTAATACAGTTATTTCCATTCTAATGCAAAATTTAAAGATGGTTCAGTGTAAAAATCACATAAATAAAAGATTATTCAAATTATTGTTCTCGTCTTTGGAACCTTACAAGTATGGCGTTAGATATAGTTCCTGTGTCAAATATACACACCAGAAATTTGTAAGTTTTTATATACGCTTCCGAACAAAATTGAATTTGACAAAGAGGATAATTTCAGGTGAGACATCTGCTTATCTTGTTAATTGTTGCAGAAATCAGATGCCAATAAATTATGCTATTCAAAATTGTGGCTGCCCTTTAGTTACAGACCAGAAAACCCTTGGAATTTACCCCCATTAAATATATGATGATGACCAATCAAAAAAATCATGATTACAAAATAATTGCATTAAAATGAGGAATTGCAAATGTTTCTTTTGTCAAATTAGGTGACTTGAACCATCATTGATTTATATTAAAAAAAATACTTGTTATAAAATAAATAAGTCGAGGAGATAAGTTGTCTTTCTATGGCTACATCTCTATATACTTTCAATTAAATATAAAAATACTTATGTTTTTTTTTCAGAGTCCAGGAAGTATAAAAGACAATCAACAGTTGCAAAAGCAGACAATTTCAACAAGTCCAGAGATCTTACATCAACAGGTGGGTAAAAACATATATTTGTAAAGTTAGGTGATAAACATGTTTGCTGGTGCAGGGGCTTATGATATACAGAGTGTTCTCATTAGGATTCATAAAGGTGCCCAGAATGCAACTGTTTTTTTTTATGTGCGAAATTTCATGAACCTGTGTTCCCAGTACCATTTTAATTAATATTAAAGCTAAGTCCTTTCTTCACCAGGATTCAGCAGCAGTAATTCATATTTTGAATAATGATTTTCACCAAAAGTTGACCTAATTTTGTATTCATTATGTTCATTGCTTTGCAGAAAAGCCAAATGGGAGAGAATATATAGCCAGTAGATCCAATTGTGCAAATCAGAACAATCTCACTCGTTGAAATAAAAACGAAATTAACATGAGTTATCTCTCTTTACCATTGGTAAAGTTTTGTACTTGTCAGAGTAAGAAATCTATAGACAATTATTATACCCCGCTTTAAAAAGTGGGGGTATACTGTTTTACCTCTGTCTCCTTCCGTCAGTCCATCCGTCAGTCAGTCTGTCTGTCCCATGAATATTTTCATCACATTTTTCTCAGGAACTACTTGACAAGGATTTCTGAAATTTGGTTTCAGGGTTTATATAAATAAGTTACACCATGTGATGTGTTTTCAGATTCATCACTCAACAACTTCCTGTTTACCGAACACTTGTATTATTTAACACATGATAGCAAAGTTGAAAATTTTCGTCCCATTTTTCTCAGGAACTACTTGACAAGGATTTCTGAAATTTGGTTTCAGGGTTTATATAAGTCAGCTATACCGTGTGATGCGTTTTCAGATTCATCACTCAATAACTTCCTGTTTACCAAAATATTTCGGCGGGGGTATCATCAGTGTACTGCTCACAGTTTTACTTGTTTATATAAGATTTACTTCCTCTTTTGAAAGCAAATCTTACATATAGCAGCAGTCTAATCTTTTTAATTAAGAATTAGAATACATATACAAACAGCTGATTGCCTTTCTTACTCTATACATTGTTATGCAGTGCTAGTAGACATGGTAGAAGGTAAAAGAGATTTGTACTCAAGGATAAGACTTTGATATCTATTGGTAAATATTTGATTTTTTCTCGCCTGCGATGAAAGTTGAGGAAAGCCAGACATAGGGATTGCTTTTCCTGCGATGATGTTGATGGCATCAACAATTGTTAAAGTTTTCGGCTTAAGTTAGTTTGATAGGAACTACTTGTGATGGATCAATGATATTTTGTATGAAGTTGCATTACTATCAGTACATATCAGTTTGATTACTATTTTGAGGCCCTGCCTCCTAGGTCAATGTCTAGTGACTTTGAATTAATTAGCAATTTTCAATGTTAAGTTTTCTGCTTTAGTTAGTTTGATAGGAACTACTTACAATTGACAATTACATTTTCTATAAAGTTACATTACTTTCCGTACATCTTAGTTTGTTGACCTTTTCGAGGCCCTGCCCACTAGTTTATGGTCCAGCGACTTTGAATTAATTAGCAATGTTAATGTCCATCAAATTGTCCTTTTCTATATATCTATGTGTCTACAGTTTATTTCTAATTAGAATTGCATAATGATATTGATATAAAGGCAAATGATAATATGATTAAACAATTTTAAAATAAATAGTGTTCCCTAATAGCCCTATACATTGGCACTCATACCACATCTTCCTATATCTATTTGAAAGGAAAAAACATGATGACAAATATAAAACATTAAGGAATTTACAATTTCTCTTACTGTTTACATTGCTTGTAATGCTGGATAATCATCACTCCTGCTCGACAATTTGAATTTTGGAGTAAAAATTGTGAATACCTGATTTTTATTTTGAACTTAATTTCTTTTTTATTTGCCTCAATGAATTTAGGGGGACTTTGAATTTGGAGCCACTGTGTGTGTGTGTATGATGTTTACCTATTTTCTGAAAATTCTACTTAAATTTCTTTATAAATTTTGTCATTATAGGATGAATCAGTAATCTTGAGTTCACAGTCAGGGGAAGAGGTATTTAACGAGATTGCTTGGCAGACATTACTTACTGATCTGGGAGAGGATGGTAGAAAGCAAATGGTCAAATTCTCTATAGCGACAAGTTTTCAAAAAGTAAGATATATAATTATTTTACTTGAATAAGACAAAAAGTGAGATTGGTTATGTTATAAAGATTTGTTGTATGTTAAAAATGCTTACTGCAATAAAAAGTATAGATATCTTCAAAAGGAAAATCCAAGTTGCAGTTTGAATAATGTCAGTGAGTTAAAATATCTGAACCATAAAAAAGATATACTGTGGATTCATTTATTTTCGTGGGTATCAATTTTCGTGGATTGAGGAAAACTTGCATTTTCGTGGATATTTGATTTCGTGGTTTGCCAACCTCTGCATGCAAAGCCTATTATAAATTTGTAATTCGTTGAACATTTAAATTCGTGGTTCGCCTGTACCCACGAAACCCACGAAAATTGGTATCCAACGAATAATAATGAATCCACAGTAGTTAAATTTAGTTTGCTTCTTATTTTTAAACATGAAATGAAATTCTGACAAGGTCACCTGACCTTGACCTTATTTTCATGGTGGCTTGACCTTCATTGCTAAGGCTGTCAAAATAAAATACAGTTATTATTGGACAGTTAAGAAGGTCAGAATCAAGATAAGTTTTTGATAATGATCTTATGTCCTCTTCTAGCAAGTCTAGTGTATATGGCCTGTACAACATTTTATTGGGAATTAATCTCTGAATAATTGAATTTAAGATATTTTAGACTTATGATTTATGATTGTGATACACAGTTACCACTTTGCAGATAGTCATCCATCTTGAAATATAAATACTAATTATCTCTCTTTGTCTTAAAAAATTATCTCTCTTTGTCTTAAAAAAATGTCACCCTTCAATGATTCATAAAGGAATCATGATCATGAGGACTAGGTATAAAATAGTTTCAAGTTGTGGACAGAACATCATATACCAACATATAATTTTCAGGAGGTAAATCATACTATAAAATAGTTTATTTTCACACTTAAGACTTAATGTTCATGTTTTCCCTGCCACTGATTCTAATCTGCCTTTAGTTCAAATTAACAAGAGGAGAGATCTTTGAAATTTTGTCTTAAATGCAAAATATTAAGCAGACGCAAAGCCACAGCTAAAAATTTCACATTTTACTGTATAATTTCTATTGACATAATTTTATTCTATATCTGTTATATCCTATCGTTGTATCAAGTAAAGATAGAGTCATCATGACGTATGTATGAACTTATGTTGATCGTAAGATATTGTTTTTAGGGGTTTTTGGTTTAAAAAAAAAGTATTAAGGAGTTTTGCCATCTGAATTAATTGTCTCGCCTGTGATGAAAGTTGCAGAATGCAAGACATAGGGATGTTTATTCTGCTGATCAGGTGTAAACTATTTTTATAAAGCTTTATATTTCAGATGGTAGAAGACCTGGATGCTTCATACTTTATACATGTATACCTTGTGCTACTGTAACATAAGGCATCCATGTATAAAGTATGAAGCATCCAGGTCTTCTACTGTCTTACGAAGTTTCTGTTTGTCATATGTCCATTATCCTTGACCTCATTTTCATGGTTCTGGGACTACTTAAAAAACTGAAATGGGGCATTAAGGGTTACCCTTGTCTGTCTGTTGTTATCCCATTGCTGTTTGTGATTGAACAATGAGAGCACTCAAACCCCAGAGCAATCTCTAATGACAACATACAGAAACAAATGTCATTAAGTTTTTAAGAATCAGTAGATTTGAATTAGTACATTGACGATTGCATATTTACAAGTCGGAGAATCTGTGTTTCATGGACACATTCTTCTTTTATTTACTTAAAAAACTGTATAGATTTTTTTCATGTGAATTTCTGACTTATTATGTGTAATAGGATAATAATATATGGGATCCTTACAAGGCTTGTAAATGATTGCCAATGTATATCTATGGAAAGGTGGTTGTGTGAAACCAGTACATTCTCAGGTTGAAGTTTTTGGTCAATGTAGTTTACCCAGAATACCACATTTAACTTGAACCTATTAAACATAGTCATTATGATGTAAACACTGAAAATTATATGCAAAATTATGGTATGACCCAGATTTAATTGTTCATGGAACAAGAAAAATGTTAAGCAAGCGGTACATGGTGTCCTATGGGTACACGTTCTTTTTTATTTTGCTTTATAAGGATAGTTAATTCAGCTAATTACTAATTAGATTTAATAGAAGAATGTGCAGTAAATTTCTTTTTATTTTCTTAATGCAAATTTTAGGCACTACTTACTCATTTTTTTTCTGTATGCTTTTTCCTATAGGTAATGCTTTCTAAATATGTTAATTTTTCACAATCTGTAGCTTGAAAATAAGCTTGATGACCTACTTCGGATTCATTTATTTTCATGTGTATCAATTTTCATGGATTGAGGGAAAGTTGCATTTTCGTGTATATTTGATTTCTGGTTTTGACAAAGTCTGCATACCAGCATATATAAAATTTGTTGTTAGTTGAACATTTGAATTCGTGGTTCAGCTATACCCACAAATTCCACGAAAATTGGTATCCAACGAATAATGAATCAACAGTATATACTTTTTGTTGTCCCACGCGCCAAGCGTTGCGAGGGACATAGAAATACCGGGCGTCCGTCTGGTCTTGTTAGCTCTGTCACGTGTACAGATTTTTATGAAACTTATATCACTGAGGTTTATATCAGCAATGTCTTGGACAAGTTCGAAAATCAGTACCGATAAATTATATTTAAAAGAGTTATGCCCCTTGGAAACATTAATTATAAGGAAAATTGCATTGTAAGTACTCTCATTTGTACAATTCTTACCAGATTTTTATGAAACTTATATCATAGGTTTATATTAGCAATGTCTTGGACGAGTATGAAAATCAGTGCCAATCAATTATTTTTTAAAGAGTTATGCTACCTTGGAAAAATTAGTCATATGGAAAATTGCCTTGTGAGATTTCTAATGTGTACAATTCTTGCCAGAATTTTATGAAACTTATATCACAGGTTTATATCAGCAATATCTTGGAAGAGTTCGAAAATCAGTGCCAATCGATTATTTTAAAAGAGTTATGCTCCATGGAAACAATAATTATATGGAAAATTGCATTGCTAGTGCTATCATGTGTACAATTCTTTCCAGAATTTTATAAAACTGATATCATAGGTTTATATCAACAATGTCTTTGACGAGTTCAAAAATCAGTGCCAATCAACTTTTTTTTAAAGAGTTATGCCCCTTGGAAATATTAATCATGTGGAAAATTGCCTTGTAATCGCTCTAATGTGTACAATTCTTGCCAGATTTTTATGAAATTTGTATAAGGTATAGGTTTATATCATCAATATCTTTGACAAGTTCGAAAATCAGTGCTGATCATTTATTTTTAAAAGAGTAATGCACTTTTGAAATATTGATTATGTGGAAAATTGCATTGTTAGTGCTCTCATGTATACAATTCTTGCCAGATTTTTATGAAATTTATATTATAGGTTTATATTATCAATGTCTATGACAAATTTGAAAATCAGTGCTGATCAATAATTTTTAAAAGAGTTATGCCCTTGGAAATAGTTATTTTTATGGAAAATTGCATTGTTAGTGCTCTCATGTGTACAATTCTTGCCAGAATTTTATGAAACTTATATCATAGGTTTATATCAGCAATGTCTTTGACTTTTTTGAAAATAAGTGCAGATCAAATATTTTTAACGAGTTATGTCCCTAGGAAATATTAATTATAACGTAAATCCCATTGCATTTGCTCTGAAGCCTTCATTGATCTTAAGTCTTTTATTAAAAGAACCAAAATAAATTTTTTTTTAGTTATTGCCCTTGTTCTTTGGATAGATGATTATGTGCAATGTGGGGGACATTGTTCTTTTATTATATTTTTGAAAATCACAATGCTACCTTACCATTTATGTAAAAGGAACACAAAAGGACTGGAATTTGTAGTCATTCCATGCAGCAAGTAGTTGAAATTTTGCTTTATGATGTTTGGGAAGGGATTCAAAATTTATCTAAACGAAGGTAAAACCTGTTTCTGCATTCAAAGCTTTTTATGCCCCGCCGTAGCGGAGGGGGCATTAAGTTTTTATTTCTTTATTTATCTTCATCAGTTTAAAAAATACATGCATAAAATACAATTTTAGGCCAGAAAGAAACTGCTACCAAAAGGCAAGGTACCCTTAGTGATAGCTGTTATAGAGAGTGTTGACTGGCAGGGATCTGATGCTAGTATTTGTTTAAAAGACAAATCTGGTAGGTACAGGTATAACTATATAAATCATGTGGGCTGCAGAATATAGAATATTGTTTTTTTTAAAACCTTTTAGAAAACATTTAGTATACTTAACAACATAAATAATGTACCACTTCTTTCCATATAATTTCATAATTTTGTGTTTTTGCTAAAAAAAATTGTGAAACTTTAGTATATTTTCAGTCTTCAAAATAAACTTTTGAATCCACAGGCCCAAAGCTCAATTTTACGAAAATTTTAGTTGGATTCTGTTGGCCTTTAGAGAAGATTTTTACAGGCCCCAAAGCAATTGTACAAGCCTGGGGTGGTTGGCTTGTGGTTAAGTGTGAAGACTGTATTTTAAGCATAACCTAGCAATTAATCCATTGAAGAGTTTACAGTTTAATGTTCATTTTAATGGCAACTATCGGGTTTTCATTAAAAAAAATTGAAAAATAAAAAGTCTGAGATTATTCAATTTCAAATTGGTCATTAGAATAACATCTGGATAAAGAAACTGAACACCAAAGTCATATTCCTTGTTTTCAGATGAAAAGAGTCGCATGACCCCAGTTTTCACAAATTTGACAACTTTGATGTTTTGAGAAGTCAAAAGAAAAAGTTATTATCACAGAATTTGATGTTTAAGTTTCCAGCAATATTATGCCTAAATTTTGACCCATTTCAATCACTTTTTAAAAAGTTATATGCAGTAGACATTTTCACTCCAAAGAAATTAATGGAGTCTGCATATTTTTTTTTGTCAGGATACTTTATTCCATTTTGATAGTTAGTGGTGTAAAGACCATTAGTTAATAGCTTAACTTTACAACTACAATATAGATTATTCCATTTATACAGTTGATTAGAGTGTGCAGCCCATCAATCATCTTTCATTTTACCCTTTGTTGAATACAAGCACCAATTATGGGACATAACTGTTATACAATTGTAGTAAAACATCATTGAATGGGCAAATAGTAAATTATGGATAGAAATTTCTGTCTATCACATTTCCTGTCAGGATCAATAATTGTTCCTTCAACAGCAATTAGTTCATCCATTAACTGTGGACATGGTTATTGATTGATTGATTTACATTTATATTGAAAGATTAGGGTACATCGTGCTTGTGCTGTCAGATCTGAGACAATGATCTGATGAAAAATGATCAAGGAATTAAACAAGACTAGAGACAGTCAAATGGTATAATGGAAATCAGATAGTTGGAATGCTTTCACAACTTCTTTATGTAAATGTACAATATGGTTTTGATGAATTTTTATGAGATGTAGCCTTCAGTTTTATCTTCTATTTCTGTGGCGGTAATTAAGTACTTATTGATCAAGATGGACATTTATAGCTCAGGAACAATGTTTGATATGGAAATGTTTTAGCTTTGTATCCATGGTCTTATCATAGAACAGATTCATTCTTCTACAAGCTTTTTAATGGTATTAGATTACACTGTATATCTTTTCTTTGTATCCTTTAATTTTCTTGTCCCAGAGCACCACGAATTTTAAATTGAAGATCAGTATGCAGAAGTGATATTGGAAAATTAACTCTATTTGAAATACAGAAGCATTACTCAGCAATCTTTTCTTTTAATTACACTTAAAAGCCATCTCTATAATTTGTTTACTATACCAGTAATAGTTTCTAAAGTAGAAATAATGAATCAATAAATTGATGTTACTGCTCCTAAAAGTACTTAAGATTTGTATTTGAATTGAACCTTACAGCTGATCAGATTGATTTAACTATTCAAAAGTAATTAATAGTTGGTTAAAATTCTTAAGGGCATATGGTTTTCTTCAACAACCCATTGGCCTAATTATCAAAGAGAACATTTAGAACAGTAACACTATGATCATTCACAAATGATAATTAATATGTTTTATCTCCTTGCCACAATCCTTTCTTTTTCCTGGATTGTGTTAACATCAAGATGATCAATAAAAACAACTTATGACCAAATTTCTACTTGCAAACGGTTATCATGGTAGCATCACAAGTGCTTCCAATACTATGATGAACATGTTTGTTCAGTGGTGTTCTATAATATAGATAAGATATATTTTATTACCAATTAAGTGCCCACAAGGGGCATATAGAGAATACATGTATGATTTTTTATTAACTGTGGATTTGCATTCAGGTGTCACAGGTCAAATTTATTCGTTCATTGTGTGTTAATTTACGTTTTTTGATTGAGTTAAGCCTTCCAATTGATATTTTATAGTGTGTTTTTAGCTCACCTGGCCCAAAGGGCCAAGTTAGCTTTTCTCATCACTTGGCGTCCGATGTTCGTCGTGGTCGTCCGTCGTCGTCGTTAACTTTTACAAAAATCTTCTCCTCTGAAACTACTTGGCCAAATTTAACCAAAGTTGGCCACAATCATCATTGGGGTATCTAGTTTAAAAAATGTGTCCGGTGACCCGGCCAACCAACCAAGATGGCCGTCATGGCTAAAAATAGAACATAGGGGTAAAATGTAGATTTTGGCTTATATCTCTGAAACCAAAGCATTTAGAGCAAATCTGACCGGGGTAAAATTGTTTATCAGGTCAAGATCTATCTGCCCTGAAATTTTCAGATGAATCGGACAACCCGTTGTTGGGTTGCTGCCCCTAAATTGGTAATTTTAAGGAAATTTTGCAGTTTTTGGTTATTATCTTGAATATTATTATAGATAGAGATAAACTGTAAACAGCAATAATGTTCAGCAAAGTAAGATCTACAAATAAGTTGTCATGACCAAAATGGTTATTTGACCCCTTAAGGAGTTATTACCCTTTATAGTCAATTTTTAACCATTTTTCGTAAATTTTTGTTATCTTTTACAAAAATCTTCTCCTCTGAAACTACTTGGCCACAATCATCATTGGGGTATTTAGTTTAAAAAATGTGTCCGGTGACCCGGCCTGCTAACCAAGATGGCTGACATGGCTAAAAAATAGTACATAGGGTAAAATGCAGTTTTTGGCTCATATCTCTGAAACCAAAGCATTTAGAGCAAATCTGACTTGGTGTAAAATTGTTTATCAGGTCAAGATCTATCTGCCCTGAAATTTTCAGATGAATCGGAAAGCCGTTGTTGGGTTGCTGCCCCTGATTTGGTAATTTTAAGAAAATTTTGCAGTTTTTGGTTATTATCTTGAATATTATTATAGATAGAGATAAACTGTAAACAGCAATAATGTTCAGCAAAGTAAGATCTACAAATAAGTCAACTTGACCAAAATGGTCAGTTGACCCCTTAAGGAGTTATTGCCCTTTATAGTAAATTTTTAACCATTTTTCGTAAATTTTTGTAATCTTTTACAAAAATCTTCTCCTCTGAAACTACTTGGCCAAATTTTACCAAACTTGGCCACAATCATCATTGGGGTATTCAGTTTAAAAAAGGTGTCCGGTGACCCGGCCTGCTAACCAAGATGGCCGACATGGCTAAAAAATAGTACATAGGGTAAAATGCAGTTTTTGGCTCATATCTCTGAAACCAAAGCATTTAGAGCAAATCTGACGGGATAAAATTGTTCATTAGGTCAACATCTATCTGCCTTGAAATTTTCAGACCAATTAGGCAACACGTTGTTGGGTTGCTGCCCCTGAATTGGTAATTTTAAGAAAATTTGGTAGCTTTTGGTTATTATCTTGAATATTATTATAGATAGAGATAAACTGTAAATGGCAATAATGTACAGCAAAGTAAGATCTACAAATAAGTCAACATGATCAAAATTGTCAATTGTCCCCTTAAGGAGTTATTGCCCTTTATAGTCAATTTTTTACAATTTTCATAAATTTTGTAAATTTTTGTAAATTTTTACATAATATTTTCCACTGTAACTACTGGGCCAAGTTCATTATAGATAAAGATAATAGTAAGGAGCAAGAATGTTCAGTAAAGTAAGATCTACAAACACATCACCATCACCGAAACACAATCTTGTCATGAATCCATCTGTGTCCTTTGTTTGATATGCACATAGACCAAGGTGAGCGACACAGGCTCTTTAGAGCCTCTAGTTCTATGTTGTGATGTTATACTATTGTTTCAAAAAAGGGAGAAGGTTTGGTACCTTTAAAACGTTTAATCCCACTGCAAATGTTTGCACCTGTCCTAAGTCAGGAACCTGATTACAGTAGTTGTCATCTGTTTATGTAGTTCATACGTGTTTCTCGTTTCTCGTTTTTAGCTCACCTGGCCGGAAGGGCCAAGTGAGCTTTCCTCATCACTTGGCGTCCGTCGTACGTCGTCGGCGTTAACTTTTTACATTTTGAACTTCTTCTAGAGAACCACTGAATGGAATGAAACCAAACATGGCATGAATGTTCCTTATGAGGTGCTGACCAAGTGTTGTTACTTTGTAGCCGATCCATCATCCAAGATGGCCGCCAGCGGGGGACTTAGTTTAACATAGGACCCTATGGGAAATGCATACAAATGACTTCTTTTAGAGAACCACTGAATGGAATGAAACCAAACATGGCATGAATGTTCCTTATGAGGTGCTGACCATGTGTTGTTACTTTGTAGCCGATCCATCATCCAAGATGGCCGCCAGCGGGGGACTTAGTTTAACATAGGACCCTATGGGAAATACATAAAAATGTCTTCTTTTAGAGAACCACTGAATGGAATGGAACCAAACATGGTATGAATGTTCCTTATGAGATGCTGACCAAGTGTTGTTACTTTGCAGTCGGTCCATCATCCAAGATGGCCGCCAGCGGGGGACTTAGTTTAACATAGGACCCTACGGGAAATACATACAAATGTCTTCTTTTAGAGAACCACTGAATGGAATGAAACCAAACATGGCATGAATGTTTCTTATGAGGTTCTGACCAAGTGTTGTTACTTTGTAGCCGATCCATCATCCAAGATGGCCGCCAGCGGGGGACTTAGTTTAACATAGGACCCTATGGGAAATGCATACAAATGACTTCTTTTAGAGAACCACTGAATGGAATTGAACCAAACATGGCATGAATGTTCCTTATGAGGTGC